ATCGTACAGTGCTGTTCCTAATAAAAAACTGAGTCGAAAAGTTTTCTATTTTGCAATTTTTGTAATATTTTTTTTAGTTATCCAATGAGCAAAATGTTTAAAATCAACGTATAAGACATCTTTAAGAGTTCTTTAAGAAACATCTTCAAAAATTCACAAAGAATACTGAAAGATATTTTAATATTGTCTTATCGATTTTATCTATTTATTTGGTAATATTTAGAAATTAATATTTTATTAATTATTGCGAAAATTGCAAAGTGGTAGAAGACTTTTTGACTCAGTTTTTTATTAAGAATAGCACTGTATGATTAATGAGAGTTATTTAAGAAACACCTTGTATACACTTACGCTGAGGATTCTCGAGCATACATTTCTCCGCGATTGATTAATTAATCGAGCGAGTCTGTGAACGAGCGCGCTGTCGCATTTCAGGATTGTAATCATTAAAAGTCAGAATGTACCAACGGTTCGTTAGCGTCGTGTGCGAGCAAACACGCTCATAACATTCAGAAGTTACTTCCAAGCTGGAAGAACATTAGCAAGTTTTTGCGCATGTTCAGTCGGTCGCTTCAGCGTTGTTACTTGTCCATCGTCTGTAGCATAAGTGAGACTCCACAAGAGATATATAATAGATACTTACTCCGTTATGCAGCTGTCTTTCTCGGACTGTCAATTCTTTGGTGGATCATTATAATTGCGGCTTCGTATCATGCTCTTCACTAGCTGCACTGCTCTATAAACTGCTTTGGAATTACCTCACTTATATTTCTTCACTTCTTCAAATTTTTGAAAGAACATATCTTCAAGAATTTTAAAATAATTTATTTTTTAATCGATAATTTATATTTCTTTGGTAATAACAATTTAATTGTTTATTTTGTTAGTATCTTCTCTAATCCGAATGCTACGTATTTTTAATAGATTCAAGTAAATAATTTGCCTAATACAGTTATTGCAAAAATGTTCATGTATTTATAGAATTAGTAAACTTATAAAGTCTTGAAAAATTAATGAACTACTTTAGGAGAAATTAATATTATAAGATCAAACTTAATCATGATTTTACGAGATCGATTTATGCTATAAACTCTCGGAACACTAAATTGATACAAATGATACGAATAATTACCAACATTTCGATTGAGTGGACAAATTCAATTTATTAGAAAATTTTCTTTTTAATCTGTCTATCTCTACGATATTATCGCTCTCTTATTAAATCAACCGTGAAACATAAACGAGTGAATGACGAATAAAATTGTTAAAAAAGGTTCGCGGCGACGTGGGAGATCGCACGCAAGATCTTGCTGCGGCGGCGAGGATCTGCAGAGCCTGCAGACCTTGAACTTGATCGGACGCGGGGGTGGAAGCAGTCGGCAGCGCAGTCCTAATCCTGCGACAGGTGGTCCAGGTCAGGATCAGCCGGCATCCGTGGTGGATTACAGACGGCTAGTGTTCATCAGCTCGGACTCGTCGTCAGGCCGCGAGGAGGATGATGCCGACAGTAGTTGCTCAAGCTCGTCCTACCTGAACGGACTGCCGCGCAACGGCAATCACCACCATCATCACGCGCAGTCGCTCGAGGACTGCGACTGGGACTACTTCGAAAGCGGCTCTCTGCCGTTGCCAACAACACCAATTGTCACCGTCGGCGCTGGTGTTAACATCGCCGGTAGAGCGGATATCATTGGTCAGGACGTTTGGAGTTGCTGCCCAGGACGCGGTTCCGCTGCTTGTCAGGTACTGCTATAATATTATAATATTATATCATATATTTCATTTCACATACATTACGTTTGAAAGAAATTAGAAGTATTAGATTAGTGCAGAAGTTTGACGTACTTTTATAAATAAATCTAAAGGATTATAATTTTCGTTATATTTTTTTTCGTCTGAAAATTCACCAAAGATTCAAATATTCAATATTAAGGATTTTCAAGAATAAGTCTAATAATATAGTTCTAATAATATAATTCTCTTAAGCATATGATTTGTAATCATTGTTTTATAGCAGCTTCCTGAATCTTTTTAATTAATTTTTATTTTAATAAATTTATTTATTTGATTTAATATAAATCGTACATTAAAATCTAAATTTTTATTTACGAAATAATTTCATATAAATAAATTGAATAAAAAAATGATGTTACGCGCGATGAGAACAGTTTTCCATGAACATGAACACAAGTCATGTGACCGCGACTGGGTGCCGCTGGTTGTGCATCCGTTTGACAAACACATTGCTGCAGCTAAATTAATCATTCACGTTCTACTAGCGAAGAGAGTCGCACGGCAACTATGTGGAATTCACGGTCACACTTTGTCAATAAACTCGTATATTGAGCGACGCCTCACGTTGATTACAACGATCGATAAGCACTTCGTACTGAATTGTCACTGCTATAGCTTTGAGTTGTTAACCCATATTTCTCTATTTATATTTCTTATAAGCAGAATGTATTTATAGAAAACAAATGATTTAACATATTTTTTTGTGCACATTAATTAAAATTTTAATATAATATCAGAAGACAATTTATATTTTCTTAGCGCAAAATTTGAAATTGATATATATTTTGATCGATATAAGTACATCACATCTTTTTTTGTTTACTTATAATTTTTATTTATAATTATTTTTTCACATTTATATTTTATGACTTTTTAATAGAGGAGATAGTAGTATTACGGCCCTCATTTACATTTTATACGATAACTTGGTTGTATAATCAAAATTAAAACTTAATGATTACATTCGTGAAAGTATTGTTCAATCGATTCTAAACCCAAAGTTATGAAACATTTATTATATAGGATATTATTTATAAAAATGTGGCACTGCATTAATGACTCGAAAAGAAACAGAAATTGATAATTTGGCTTCCTACAAAAATATATTTAAAAAAATTGATTTCGTTTAAAAAAAAATAGTATTTGGTTACAAAATTAACAAAAAAGTAAAATATTTTAGAATGCAAATAAATGTATATACGTTACACACATAACTTCTGCATATAAAGTGCTCAGCACTAAAAATAGTACACATAACATAAACTATATTAACAGAGCTATAATCGATTCGATCGATAATCGATCAAATAATTATTTTGATATGAGATTTGAGATGAGAGGCCGCAAATAATCAATATGCATAGAGGGCCATAGTTTAACAAAATGCCGTGCAAATTTGCATAACTCAAAATATGTACAGACAAATAAAATGTTAAATAGTAAACAACATATTCAAAAATACATATATTGAGCATGTTATGTGATAACATGCTCAAGTTTAAGAAAAATGAGGAAGGAGGTGTAATTAAATGCTAAAATATATCTTAGAAGTATTTCGAAATACTTGAAAGTAAAAATGCGTTGTAAGTGCTGGCTATTGAGTGTTGGCATGATATAACGACGAACTGAATAAATAATTTCATAAGTAATCATTAAGATTCCCTATATAATAGTGGAGATATTAAGGGAAGCCACAATATCTACACTACTGGCCATACCTTCTCCTCTTTCGTGATTGAAAATAAAAAAGTATATCATATTGTAATTTCATATCTTATATTTTAAAAATAGAATTGTAAGCAAAAATATAAGACGTGTTAAAATTTTAAACAGTGTGGAGATAATTAGTCAATTAAATTGAATAAAAAGCCATTTTTATTCAATGTAAAAAAAATAAATTACAATATTTTAAGTAAAATAGGAAGATAGAGAAAGATAATACTTTTTAAGATAAAATTCGCGAGCTATCATCCTGTCGTTCTATTCAGGCCTGCGGTGGTTCCCGAAGTGCGAACGTGCTTCCGGTACCGGTACCTATACCAGTCCCTGTTCCATATCCAGTGCCGATACCGGCCGCACTGTGGACTGGTGATTTTGCGGCAGCTGCATCATCCATGATAAGTCGCAGTGACGGTCACGCCGAGCCAGGAACTCTGAGGTTACGAGGTGACCCAGCGGCACCTTGGTTCGCCTGGCACCCTCGATTCAACCAGCCTCTTCATGGCGCACGTTTAGATCCCCGGCTCGCTGGCGCCTTCGATCCAACCACCTGCACCTTCCGCCCGCCTGATCAAGTGTTGACTCCGAGATTGTACGGTCCAATAACTGAGACAATAACGACCGCAACGAATCTCGAGTCTTCTCAAATAAGTCAAGATGTGAGAGATGAAGCAAACGTCATATTGAAGACTGAGAAACTTAGAAAGGAGGAAAACTTGCTGGCGAAGGATATTAACGAATCTAGTTCCTCTACTACAAAGAATAAAAAGAAGTTAGAAGAAACGAAGAACATCGAAATAGAAGGCAAGAAAGATGAAGAAGAAACGGAAATGAACGAAGAGGCCACTTGTGAAGATTCCTTATTGTCATCTTTCGAAAGGAATGCACAAGGAATGTATCAGCACTCGCGAGAGGATTCGGACAGCTCGTCCGGTAGATCGTCAGCAGATAGCAGCGATCTGGAAGAGGATTCCAGCTCGCATAGATTCTCTAAAGTATTTGTGGTGAACGACGACTCGCTCACCAGCGACAACGATATCGAGGATAATGAAGAGAATGATTCCGATTCTGCTGCGGAAGGTGGTGTAACCTTGAAACGTGTCACTGCGATTCCTGAAGAAGAACCGGTAGTGTTGCAACATGTAAGACTATTAAACGAAGATATATTCATGGAAAATGAACGAGGAGTAAACAAGAACGAATTAGAAGAATCTAATAAGCATTCCAAGACTTATATCTTTGGCAATGACCAGCTTAAAAGCGACGATAAATCATTGGATAAACCTGCTGCTAATTTAATTGACAAACGAAAAAGTCGCAATAAGAAGATCGGAAGTGATAGCGATGATAAACGACTTCCTTTCTTACTGCAACGTCGATCGATCCCAGAAGAGTTATATCTTGCAGATAATAGTGATTGTTCTGATAACCGAATTGAATTGAAATCCATAAGGATGCTCGATCCCGATAACATTGATCTGCCTACAGTCTTGAAAAACGAAAAACCTGTTTCAAAAATACAAATTTGCTCTGAAGCTGTTAATACATCGAAAGAGATTTTGCAGAATGGTCTGATCGAATGTCCAAAGTCACCTTCAAGCGACACCTGGGATTCAACAATTGTACCAGATTCTCTCGAAATTTCTGGAGTTTCTTCCGAAACTTCAGTTCCTGGAGAAACTGACATCGATCATCGAAATAGACTTAAAGTCTTTGATAACGGACAGATTACGCGATCGATCATAACAACCAACGATTGCAAGAAGCAAGAAGATAAGCGTTTATCGGAGGCAGATTGTTCGAATGTCGATATCATTGCCGACGCGTTGACTGACAGTTGCACCAGCAATGAAAGCAACACTACAGGTAGTGAGGTGAGCAGCGATGAGCTTCACGAGTACGAAGTGACTCCGATTGAGTCATCCTTTGATTACAGTAACGAGATCTCCGCAATCAACGACGAATTACTGTATCAAATTAGCAAGAAGAAAACTGAAGATATTTCAAAAGGAATCAAGGAAAATGGTTATCATCTTGGCAATAATCATGATGACAAAACAAGTTCGACAATGACGAAAAGCGGCGCCAAGCAGAGCGTACAGACTGAAAGACCGATCAGCGGGCGGTCTTCGATAAAATCGATGATCAGCGCGAAGGATGATAACGACGACGACAACGATGACGAAGACGACGATGAGGGCTATCGCTCCGTTACGTGTCGTCGCGGCGGTCAAGATGGCGGGCCAGGAGACAACGACCCGACGGCAGTAGCGGCGGGTGAGGAGCGCGTACAAACAGACATAGGCAATGCAATATTAACCAGCAGGATCCAGGAGATGATGGGGAGCGCGGAGGAGCAAGACGGCAACGGCAGCAAGGTGGACATTGCGCATGACGGCCCGGTGAGAGGCGAGATTGCCGTTCAGGTGGGAGGAAATGGTGATGGTAACGGTGTTAGTGGTAGTGGTGAATACTCCGAGGAGGGGGACGCGACACGGTTTCGCTCAGTCGAGCGACGCCCGTGCACTCGGCAGGAGAATGGATTCCCAGCTGACGGCCAAACGTCGGCCAAGGACCTTGCCAGAGACTCAGTTCAGCACAACAGCAGTAACAATATTAGCGGTAACAATAAATACAGAAGTCTCGTGATGATTACCCAAGAAGCGTCCTACCAGCCGGTAAGCGTCGTCACATCGGACACCACGACATTGCTGCAACCGGATGAGATCCATTCGGCTGGAAGCCAGGGAGGCCTGGCCGGCTACTTCCAGCTGGCATTGGAGGCGGCGAGCGAACCGCAATTACATCGCAAAAACGCTCCGCGTAAGCCGCTGATGGTGAAAAGATTACCAGCCACAGTCGCGGTCTCCGCTGTCACGACGAGTCATCAATCAGCCGAGCCTGAAGTGGATAGTGGATTGAGTGTCGGTAGCGCTAGTGAAAGCGACGACGTGTCCGTGAAAAACGTGCCGAAGCCGCTCAATTGTCGACAGGAGAATGCGGATGACGTATCGAAGGATCGTTCGGTGTCGGATTATCGTGAATTACGTGTTTCGTCACAGTCTAGTGATGATAATTCAGGTACTGGTGGTATTATTATACTCGAAGAAGGTCTGGCTGATGATGATTCTTGGGTGGAAGAAGTATCTCACGATGAAGATGAACCAGGCGCGACCACTGCCACGGAAGAAAGCTCTGAAGATGAAGCTAATAACTTTGGCGATCGTGAAGAAGAACTCAGAGGCTATCGTAGACAAGCGATTGATTTTACCTTGCACACAATCGTCGAAGAATCCTGTGAGGAGAGTGAAACGGAGCCCAGTCTGACTGCGGGAAGTCCTTCGAAAAAACCACGACCACCTTCTGCTTCAGATTTAGAGAAATATTTCTTTTTTGGATTGGGAGGTGATGGAAATAGCTCCAGTATAGGTTCGCGCGAAGTTGACAGCTTGTCAGAAACCTCATCGATTTATTCTGAGGGATTGGAGTCGCTCGGCCAAGACGAAACTAACGGCAGTGGTCAAAACCAGGACAGGTCGAATAACAGTGAAGGTTTTCTAAATTCTTCTAGACTGGAAAAATATTATCTATCAGAATTCCTCGGCTTCGATCAGGATAGAAGAGATTCTGATGGTTCAGTAGGAAGTGATTCCGAAGGCAGACCAAGTCCAGAAGCGCAAAGAAGAAAAAAATTAGTGCGTGCGAGAGGTACAGGCAGATCTCATAGTTCTTCTCTGGATAATTTGTTAGCTCTCACACAGAGCTCACAAAACCTGAGTTCGCAAAATTCTCTTCAAGATCTAAGCCTTAATCAAGACATGCAGGAGACTCAATCTGAAGGTTCCTCAACAGAGACTGATGGTACTGAAGACGGGCAAACCGCTGTATTTGGCACGGACGGTCAATTCGATACAGTAAAACGCAAGAAGAAAAAACCGCGAAATCTGGGAACTCAAAGTCCACGCGTGTCAGATGATCGGAACAAGACGCCAGAACCTAGCAGAGAAATGACGCTGATGAACGAAGTCGTAATAGAAAACGAAAATGAGGAGAATTCTGAGGACTCGGACAGAGCGAAGACTCCGCAACCAGAGTCCGTTCTGTCTTCGTCTTCCTCGCCGTCCACTCTTACAAATAATAGCAATACATTGAATGCGGCCTCATCCTCGCAAATGGATTCAAGAAATTCGGTTTCGATGAATTCAATTGATGGTCAACGATCAAAGCAACAATCGCGGGATTCAGGCTTTGTTGGTAGCTGCGACGATCTTCTTCAGCATCAAAAATTGCCAGATGAAAGCCAAACAGGTGGCATTGGAAGCGGTGGCACTGAGGCCGATCAAGAAACCGACAAAGATCGCTCGCTCAGTAAGATTACGGAGCATTCTCAGAACGCGAATCAAAACGCTATTAAAGAAGGAGCGACCGGCAAAAGCAACTTGAAGCATCCGGTGAATCATGCAAGTCTTCCGCACCTGGCGAATGCCTCACTGTCACGTAAAGATAGTTTCAATAACTGGTCCAGTGATGAGGAAACGAATCTCATGATGTCAAAGATGCGGCAGTTTTTCAAAACGATGGTGGCCAATACGAACGGTCAAGGACAGAATGCTACCAACGCAAATTCCGGTGGTGTTTCTCCAGCACCGAGTCCTCGACTGCCAGGTTATACCTCGAAAGCACGACTCTGTGTCCAGAATCGCACCAAACCGCCGCAATTGGTATATTTTGAGAATGAGCTGACACGATTGATGAAGACGGTGCCGGGAATACGTGACGAACAAGTGCGAGAGATCGTCGAGTATCTCAGCTCAGAAGATACGTGGTCGGATTCTTATGACAGTTCAGATTATACTAGCTCCGACCTTGAGGGCGCTGCCGGAGGTCGCAGATCAGCCTTGCAGGAACAAATCTCGCAAAGTTGTCAACAAATTATCAGTAAATTTGACACCACTTCCACTGGCGGTGACGCAACTCTATCGGACAAAGAGAAGGAACAAATGAAAGAACCTGGGTCAAGTTCTACGATGCAACCTGCGCCTTGTCTGGGTAGGGATACTGCTTTCGTCTATCAAAAATTGGTACAAAGTTTCACAAAAATGGCCGGTGACGGCGTGAGTTCGGACGCTAATTCTACGCCGCACAGTAGTCCGCCATTGATCGCCAAAGTAATGCATCACATCGGTAGTCGGCTAGTAGCGCTGATGCACGAAGTTTCGGAAGGCGGACCGGCCGCGCATCATCCTTCTACATGGCGACGATATTCTCAACATCATCGAACCCCATCTTCGGCGTCTACCACCGAAGACGATGACTCAACATCCGATTCCACTAATGCGCCCTCATCAGCGCATTTGCTACCAAGATCAAAATCTCATGATCCCTTGTTGTTGATCAACAGTCATCCAGCAGTCACCGCCGGTCAAGAAGGGGAAGAACGAGAGGCCAGTGACTATGAAAGATTTTCTTGGCGTGGCAGTTTTGAGTCTACGCTTATGGCTGCCGACTCGAGGACGAAACTGAGCCTGTTAGCATGTTCTGGTGACGTCAGTAGTGGTGGTAGTGTCAGTGCAAGTGCAAGTGCCCTAGCCGCGAAGCGGCGTAGCGCCGGCGATTTGCTATTCAATCCGAAGAGCTTTTCTAGAGAACAACTGGACAGGGTAAGGAGTTGCGGTTCGATCGGTGGCGGAAGTGGGGCCGGGACTGGCGGAGCTGGCAGCGGCTCTGTCGAGGAGAGGATATGGAGTAACAGGAGAAGATCTTCCGTTCCCGATGCTAACACTAGGGGAGAATCAGGTGAGTTTTAGCGTGACTATCTTTACATATATGTGAATGAATGGAAGTGGTGTGCACTTCTCCATGCGAAGCGAGCTCTCGTAGATCGTATTACATCGCGGAAACAGTGATAATTGGCATTACAGCTTGATTTTGCCTCGCTAACTTAAAACAATCCTGCGGGTTGCTCGAGCGTTCCTTTTCCGCAATTACATATGGTGCGGACTAAGCACGTTAGACGCTACAGTCAGATCGGTTCTGATAATAAGATTATATTTTATGTGGAATGAATAGAGTAAACGCGCACGCAGCGGCAAGTCTAATGTAATTGTACTTATATTGGTAAATTAAGTCGGAAATTAGGAAGCGTGCAAGCAACTGCACGCCTTGTTTGTGTGTTTTATACTGCACGCGATTCCGATTCTATTTCAGTTAGTTCCACACAAGCAAAAATAAGATTTATTAATTATAAATAGTAAAATTATGTAATAAAAATTAATAAAATAATGAAAGTACTAATTATATCTGATAAATATTTCATGAATGATTTATTAAATTATTATTGCATGTATTAGAATCAAATCCAAAATTTCACCATAATTATAAAGGAATTTAATTGAATTATTGATATCTGCGATAATTTTCAATATATAGAGGAGAAGATGGTATTATGATTAGTGTAGCTATCCTTAATATCTCCGCTAATATATAGCGAATGATTACTTGTGGAATTATTTGTTCAATAGCTCGTTATACCATGACGCTAATATGCCAATATATTCAACATCCAACACTTATTATAACGCATTCTTTACTTTCAAGCATTACGAAACATTTCGAAGATATATTTTAGCATTTAATTACACCTTCTTCCTCATTTTTCTTAAACTTAAGCGTATTATCACACGAATGTATTTTTGTTGTTTACTATTTTATTTGACTGTATATAACATTTTATTTGACTGTATATATTTTGAGTTATGCAAATTTAAATAATGGCATGCCATTTTGCTAATGTGTCCTCTATAAGTATTGATTACTCATTACCTCTTTTTTGAAGTTTTGATATCAAAATAATTTGATATCAAAATATTTGATAATCAATTGTAGTTCTACTGTTAATCTATAATTTACCTATACTTACGTATTTTTAATATTGTGCAGCTTTAATATTATGCAGAAGAAATTATATGTACGTATATACATTTACTTGCACACATTCTAAAATAGTTTACTTTTTTGTTAATTTTGTAAAAATCAAACATTGTGATTTTTTTTTAAACAAAACCAATTTTGTAAATCTGTTTTTGTAGGAAGTCATATTAATTGTGTGACTCTTCGAGTCATTAATGCAATGTTGCCACATTTTTATAAATGCCCTATGTAATAAATGTTTCATAACTTTGAGTTTAGAATCGATTGAACAACACTTTGACTATAATCATTAAGTTTTAAATTTAAATTTTAATTATTAATCAATTTATTATATAAAATGAAAATTGTGAGCCATAATACCACTATTTTCTCTATATATT